GCACATATTAAACAAATATGTAAGACTGCGTTCTTCCATTTGCGCAACATCTCTAAAATTAGAAATATCCTGTCTCAGAGTGACGCTGAAAAACTAGTTCATGCTTTTATTACTTCCAGGCTGGACTACTGTAATTCATTATTATCAGGATGTCCAAAAAGCTCACTGAAAAGCCTTAAGCTAATCCAAAATGCTGCAGCAAGAGTACTGACAGGGACTAGAAAGAGAGAGCATATTTCTCCTGTTTTGGAGCATCATACAGGGTGATCTCCATAAGGTCTAGGGATGCTCGTTTTCACTGTCCACCGCACATCTGTCACTTGGGTTTGCAGGGCTGATGTAACTGACGGCTGCCATGTCACTAAGATGTATTCATAAAGACGCAAACAATCCTGTTAATAAAGATCTAATATCTAAAAAATACTCTACTAACAGAATACTTGCCTGTTTAAAAATATTCATGGTCTTGGGGTAGCTCCTCCAGGGCAGACACCTCAGCAGATAGCTGGTCCCGCCAGGGAGCACCACTGACTGCCTCCAAACCCATCTCCCCCTAATCTTGCACATCATCCTCAGGTGCATCCTCCGGGTCCATAGCGTCACCAACACCGAGGCAGATGTTGTGTGGGAGTGATGAGGGGAAGTGGATGCTGGAGACATGGGTACCCTCCATCTGCTAAGATGAAATGCCCTGGAGGAGGGTAAATGGCCTGCCGGTACAGTGGGCTGTTGGGTAGCACCATGGAGTCATGCACTGACCCAGGCCAGCCCACATATGTATCGATGAAGCGGCCCTGATGGTCACAAACTGCCTGCAGGAGTATGGATGGGAACAATTTCCTGTTTCTGTAGCACTGACCATCAGGGCCGCTGGGAGGCTTGATGCGGACATGGCAGCCATCAATTGCACCAGCAGCCTTTAAAAAGGCTCTGTGTCTTGCCAGCCCTGCAAACCCATGAGACAGAATATCTAGGTCTTCAGGAGTCCAAGGGAGATGGATAACCTGATGAGACGAAAATCAGGCCTAGTGTCTAGGCCAGAGGTGGGCAACTCCAGGCCCCGAGGGCCGGTGTCCTGCAGGTTTTGGATCTCACCCTGGGTCAACACCTGAATCACATGATTAGTTCGTTACCAGGCCTCTGGAGAACTTCAGGACATGTTGAGGAGCTAATTTAGCCATTTAAATCAGCCCTGTTGGTTCAAGGACACATATAAAACCTGCAGGGACACCGGCCCTCGAGGCCTGGAGTTGCCCACCCCTGGTCTAGGCCTATTAAAAGCCCTGTCCAGGACTGGGACACTCAGGTTAATCCTGCAGTACTGTGGTCTCGCCTGGTGAAGGAAAATAAGGAAAATGTTTTATTCTTGTCATTATTATGAATGTTGCTCTTGTTCTTTAAAAAAAACGTATCAAAACTTTATTTCGATTATCATTCTTAACTAAAATTCACTGGTTAACTGATAAAAGATAAAAGAGCGAATAAAATCACTTCTACATCGGAGTTTTATTTAGCTAGTAAACAGATTTCAAATACACACATAAACAATGGGGAAAAAAACTGAAGACATGTATTTTCACTGTACCTGAACTCAGTTATCTCTTAGTCGGAGATAAATCAGTCGTCTGCGACAGCTGATTTGTTGTAACTCTTCGATTAACAAAAATAAGAGAGTTTCAATGATATCCATTATTTCACCGAGGGGGAGAAAGCAGTAAGGGCGGGAACAGCTGGTGACATTAATCTGAAGGCCAGACCGTCCCATTTCACAAGCCTCGCACTTCCGGCCTTCTCGGTCTTCGAAGGACCCAGCCCACGTAGACCGCAAAGGCCAGGTCCTCCGAAGGATGCAGCCGACGTTTTGGGACACAGCTAAGGACTTGCATTTGCATAACAAGACAGAATGACAGCACACACAGAGTTATCATTCTTCCAGCAGCACAGCAGAGGAGCCTAAGACACACACACCACAGGCTAGTATAGTTTAGGTTACCCTAAAATGGTATGATGAAATAACCACTTTTGTTGTAATAAACAGAGCTCATAGATGAAAAAGGCTGTATAAGTTTGTAGACCAAAGTAAATTATGTTGCATGAGAAAGTTTAATAGCTGAGATGTATTTTGTCAGAACTTGAATTTGTGTGAACGGAATATAATTGCTGGTCTACAAAAAGCTCAGAGGGATAATTTACAGGAACATTCTCACATGGTTTGTAGTGACGCAGTATGCATTGCTTTGAGTTCACTTGGTTTTATCTGTGAAGTTCACAAACACATCAGTGGACTGGAGTAACCAGAATAAAGAAATTATAGGTGTGACAACACCTTCGGGCTGTTTTCAGCAGTTATCCTCTCCAGTTCAGAGAAGATAATTTTGTGATGAATTCATGTAATGCAGGAATATTACATAGTGTAAATCACGTAAAGCAAACTGAGTAGATTCCAAGAATAAACCTTCTGAGGAAGGACAGGGGGGGTCATAGTAAGTGCTCTTTGTCCTCTTATGCAAGTGAGCTCAATTAATTGAAATAATTTAGCGGTTGCTCATTTTTACTGCACAATCGTGGGTGTGTGCAGACTTGCCTGAAAAGGTTCCATGGTAGTGCCAAATACCAGAGTGACAGCATATAATTTCGTCTTTACGGCAGCACAGCAGAGGACTAAAACACATGCAGCAAAGGTGTCAGGGTCCTGGGTCTGAGTGACCCAGGGACCCTGAGCAGTCATGGACTAGTATTACAATGTCTGTATTTTGTATTGCTGTCCCTCGTTCTCCCTGCGTGTAGATATGTGTGTATGTAGGTGTGGGTGGGGGTGTGGCCCTGGCAGGTGATTGGCCACGCCTGAAGACCGTAACACACCTGCAGCTGATCAGGCCTCGTCAGAGGAGCTACTTGAGAGTGTGGTGGAACTCTCTCCGACGCTGGATCATTGTGTGGCTTCACGTTAGTCTCTTGACAAGTTTCTAGTTTGAGTCTGCTGCATTATTGTGTGTCTGACGGCTTCCTCTCTCTTATGTCCCCAGGAGTTACGGGGAGATGAGAGGACAGCGAGCACGGGGTGCTCATCACGGAGAAGCGGAGACAGGAGCACTAGCACTGGGAAGAGGACACGTCATGGGAGTCGGGAGAGCACGGGATTTATTGTCATGTCTGTCCATCACTGTAAATAAAGGCACTGCTTGTACATAGAGCACCGCGCCTGGGTCCTCCTTCCCTACACCTCCACGGTCTGCCAGCCAGACGGTGACAAAAGGTCAGTACAATTTCAGTTACCATAAGATAAAGGCAGATTGTAAGATGAAGCAATCACTGTTTGTAATGTGGCTGCTGGAAGCTGTGTAAGTTTCTACAGCACAGAAGTACAATGTGTTCCGTGAGAAAGTTACGTTTACATGGTCACAATCCTTTTACGTTTTCTCTCTTTTGGCTGCAGATCATCAATATGACGGCTGCCAGCTATCTTCTGACTGAAGAGCAGCTTTTGTGCTGCATCTGTCTGGACGTGTTCAGGGATCCCGTCACACTCCCATGTGGACACAACTTCTGCAAAGACTGCATCACGGAACATTTAAATTTTAATTCCCAGCGCAAGTGTCCCATGTGCAAAGAGCAGGTGGATAGGAAATATAAGCTTGGTGTGAATACTTTCATATCTGAGATGGCTGTTCAGTTTAGAAAAACTGTTGGAAAGAAAGCTGATGATAGCTCAGAACAACACAATGCCATACAAGAAAAAGGTTCTTATGATGCTCCTGCTGCACCTAAACGGACATCGCTGAAGTCCTGCCTGTTCATAATTCTTAGCTTAACCTTTCTTACACTCTTCTTTGTAGCTAATCTACATTTTCATCAAACAGTGTCCATCTTAAAAACTCACAAGCTGTTTAATTCTGTGGAGAAAGAAGAAGACAGGATGTGTGCTGAGCATGGCAAACCTTTGGACTTCTATTGCAAGAATGAACAAATGATCATATGTCAGTCATGTGTGGACGCAGATCACAGATTTCACCAGGTAGTTCCCCTGAAAGAGGAATATGAAGCAAAAAAAAACACAACTTGGGATAACAGAGGCTAAAATTCTCCACATGATCCAAGAGAGACAAAGAAAAGTCCACGAGCTCAAACAATCTTTAAAGCTCAGCACAGAAGCTGCAGACAGAGAGACAGCAAATGGTGTTCGGGTCTTCTCGGCTCTGATTAAGTCTCTGGAAAGAGCTCAGGCAGAGCTAATCGAGATGACTGAAGAGAACCAGAAAAGGACAGAGAAACAGACCAAAGTTTATATCACAGAGCTGGAGCAGGAGGCCTTTGAGCTGACAAGGAGACGTGATGAGATGGAGGAACTCTCACGCTCTAAAGACCGTCTTCGTTTCCTCCAGAGCTTCCCGTCCCTGAAAGCTGCTCCACCCACCAAAGACTGGACAGATGTCAGCATCTGTCCAGCAATATACGAGGGAATCACAAGGACAGCTTTGGTGAAAGCTGTGGATGAGCTGACAGAGACCATCAAAAATGAGGTGAAGATGATACGGGACGCTCAGTTCAACAACATTCGGCAGAATGCGGTGGATGTTACTTTGGATCCCGATACGGCACATCCTGCTCTCATCGTGTCCAATGATGGGAAGCAAGTTCATTGTGATTATGAATGGAAGGAACTGCCAGACAGCTCAAAAAGATTTGAACCTGCAATTTCTGTTTTAGGGACACGAGGCTTCTCCTGTGGAAGACTTTACTATGACGTCCAGGTTAAAGGAAAGACTGGGTGGACGTTAGGAGTGGCCAAAGGGTCGGTCAATAGGAAGGGAGAAATTAAACTTAACCCAGAGAACGGCTACTGGGCTATATGTCTGAGGGACAGAAATGAGTACTTTGCACTTGCTGCCCATCCTGTCCCTCTCTCTGTGAATGATCACCCAGAGAAGGTGAGAGTTTTTGTGGATTATGAGGAGGGTTTGGTTTCCTTTTATGATGTAAATGCTGCAGTTCTTCTTCACTCATATACTGGCCAAACCTTCACAGAGAAACTTTATCCATTTTTCAGTCCTGGTAGTAGTGACAGTGGCACAAACACTGCCCCCCTAATCATCACTCCTGTCAAACAGCAAAGATCGGACTAATTTTTTTCTTTTTGTTGATGTTGTTTGTCAAGAGATGTATTCTAAAACACTTCTTCAGCAGAGAATCAGAGAGGAGAAACACACAGGTTTTCTTGCTAGCAAGGGAAGCCACATGAGAATGAGGGCTCAGAGACTCGCAGCTCTGAGACTGCCCTGGTCTTTATTTTATACATCGGTGGGTGTTTGTTCCTTACATTGGAATGTGGATGTTTATATGTATGTGTGCGTTCAGATGCATGTATAGTGTGTGCTATAGTGTAAGCTGTTCTTCCATGCATGTATGTGTGTTAGTACGCTTGCATGCAGGGCCTGTCTCACCACAAAAGGGCATTTTCTTAACAGCTGCCTTTCTCTCACGTGTGTTAAGAAAGGCAAATGTGCTTGTAGCAGTTGTGAGATTATTATGCTGTTATATATTACATTATACCTGTAATCAAAATGAGTACTGATACTGCTGTAGGCCACATCAAACTTCTTATGTAATCAGTATGTAGTTTTAGTTTGCATCATACTTCTGAGTTAAAATAATGTGAGAATCATTAGATTCATTAGATAGGTTTGTATTATCCTATACTGCTGACTTACTGTGAGTGTGTTACACTGTTTTCTGATAGTAGAGACAACAGAACACATTCTTCACCTCTACCTTTGTTGGAAGTAGAAAAACAGGGAGAAAGGGTCATAACTCAGGCTCACTGGGAGTTAGAAAGAATGTAAATGCTTAGTTTGTGGCTGTGGCGCATTTTGTATGGCTTCTTTTCTTTTGTTTAGTAGCTTTCTGCCTTCACCTGAGAGGATGTGCCCTGAGCATGTGACTTCAGGTCTCCATAATTAGAGTTTATTTAAAGATACCTTGTGGCCTTAACTCAGCCAAGTGACCCTTCCTCTGTGTGGCCAGTCACTAAAATGTCATCTACGTTAGAGTAGATGGTTTGATAAGTCTATCACTGAGAACCATTGTTCTTTTGGAGTGACTTGATTCAGTATAGTGTGGGGATTTGATACTACTGGTGGCATCATTTCAGTGATTTCATTTATTACTCACAGATCATGCACTAGACGGTATTTTGCAGTATTAGCTTTCTTCACCACTTAAACAAAACATCACTCTTTGTTTGCTTTATTATTATTATTATTATTATTATTATTATTATTATTATTTTAAATTCTCCTTTCTCAAAAACAGAAAATGAAGTTGTAGTTGTTCTTTGCTGAGAAACACAAAAACCCTTTCTCTTTTTTTTTTCAAGGCCAGAAACTAAGTTTTAACTTTTCTGATTTGTCACCTAAAACAAAGCAAACAACCCAACTCTCAGCTGGCTCTGAACTTATCATCATCAAGGTCGCATGGTGAGAGCTACTTCAGAAGTCACAGTACTCCTCACTCAATCAACACGTCAAAAACAAAAAAAACAAAAAACAAAAACTCAGCACACTACACAGAGAACAATAGCCAAGACACAACTGAAGATGCTTTTCTTCTTTGTTCTCCTTGAACTTTAGAATAAACTTCATCTGCATTAGTAAATCATATGCCTAATCATTATATGTCACTGTGATCCACAAGTGTGATCACAAATGTACTTATTTTTAAAAACAAAACAAAACAAAAAACAAATTGCTGATGGCATGAACGCTTTACACACATGAGTCAGGGTGCAAAAAAAGCTGCTGCCAAAGGCAAATCAGAAATATGAGGGGAAAAAACTGAGCTCACAGACAGCTGCATGTTTGAGCTCTCATGCAGCTCCTGCTCTAAAAAACGTGTTACTTGCTCATCAGCTTAGCAGTGACCACATATTTAATTCAGCTTCTCAATTTTGTAGCTTTAGCCGTTATATAAAGGGTTTAGCTTATTAGTTGTTTGTATAAGTGTGCTCTATATTTCAGCAATGTCTCATCTAGGATGACAGGTTTTCAAGCAGGTCAAGTGCCTCTATGCACTTATTTAGTTTAGGTACTTTCTTTATTTTCTTCATCTCATATATTATTGTACTGAATTTGAGCAAACCTTAAGCTTAATGCAGACTGCTTTTAATAGTTATCCACCTCACATCATAACTGACTGAGGTGCCCCTTCATATTAATATTATTTTGTTATTAATGCTATTATCTTTTTATATAACAGCAATGGTATATTACAATATTTTATTTATATTTTATTTTGTATCCACCAACGGCTGCAGGTGATCTGCAGTTTCACCCTTTCCCAAGCTGGAGACATTTTCCTTTTCACAAACTTTCCTTGGCTGAACAATGACACAGCCTTAATGTACCTTATGCATCTCTCTATTTCATTTAATATGTATTTGTGTGAATCGTGTATTTTCTTTCATTCTATTCATTCTGGGCATGATCTTCATCCCAACTATGTTTCATTGTTAATACCAGTTTACAGGTTGTTATCCTTGCTATTATTAGTTTGAATACATTAAAGATAAGCTCTAATGTAATTTAGCCTTTTGTTTATTTTACTTTATTCATCTTGTATTTATATCTATTCAGTCGGGTCTGTTTCCAACCCTTTTTAAACTACTTTAAACTACTTTGATCTCTAATTTTCACTTGGTGAGGGATTATTATATATATTATATATGTATATATTATTATATTCTTCCTAGTCTGAACTTCTCTCTTCACCTGAGCTGCTATCCTATTCTGAGTCACTGTCTTCTTTGTTTCTTACAGTCACATACAAAATGTCCCTCTTTTCCACACCTCCAGCATGTAGTGCTAAAGCCACTGTTTGGTGTGTGTGTAGGTCTGCCTCTACCTCTTGCATTCCTCTCCCTTTCTTTTGGATTAGTCCTGCTCCGGCTTGTTGTTTTTCTAAACATTTCTCATCAGGTGTTAATTTTTCTTGTTTATTTCCCATTTTCAAAGATTTTGCTGGGCCGTCACTGGCACGCGTGACTTCAGAGTGGTTTACTGATACAGCCTTCAACTTCACCCTAAAGGTGAAGTGGTATCAGTTTTATGAGATGAAACTCAACCGTTCTCCTTTGTCACCAGTACATGAGCCTCAGCAAATGGAAGTAAAATGGAAGTAGTTCAGCAGCGTATTGTGCTG